CCCTCTGAACAAACGACATAAATTACAACATCTACACAACAACTACAACAGAAACACATACACACGCACACACACACACACACACACACACACACAAACTATACAATCTCAACATCAGTCTCTCACCACCACAACAACAACAACAACAACGACAACAACGACAGCAGCGGCAGCAGCAGAAACATCAGTCAAACCATCATCAACCGTTCTTCCCAGGGAATGCCACTCAGTCCACTACGACACTACATCAACGCAGAACCCCGACAACCTCACAAGATGGCCATGCTAGCAGCCATACCGACTCCTCACATGGGTTTCCAGAAGGAATACCCTTGGGATCCAGCCAGATCCCCCTCGTATCCTCCTCAGCGACAGCCCGCCAGTCAGAGCCGAATCTCTCTCCCTTCCATCCGCTGCGTTCGTCTCTCTCCTCTCATCCTCTCTCTCCTCTCTCCTGACTCTCCAATCTTCTCTCTCATGCCCTCTCCCGAACCTCCCATCAGCTGACCTTCTTGATCGCTAGCTCTTACCCGAGCTCCTGGCCCAGCAGCAGCAGCAGCAGCAGCAGCAGCAGCAGCAGCAGGAGGACGACTCCTCCTCACCCTCTGGACGCATGACTGCCGCAACCTCCCCCACATACGTCCACTCACCCGGTGTGCTCATCGCCACCACCGCCGCCACCGCCGCCAAGAGGCAGAGGGACTCCGTAGACGATGATCAGGACCGGCACAGGGCCCGCCAGGTGCCGAGGATGTACCACCACCACCACAGTCCTCACTCCTCACCTCCGGCAGTCGTGGCCTCTCATCACCACCACCACCACCACCACCACCACCATGCCTACGCCGCCGCCGCCGCCTCCTCATCCTCATCCTCATCCTCCTCCTCCACCGCCGCCGCCGCCGCCGCCGCTTCCTCCTCAACCTCCACCTCCACCTCTGCTGCCGGAATCCGAGTCGCCCCCCCTACGCCCATGGAGGTCAAGGTCACGGACGTGGTAGAGCCCAGGCCCGGCGTCCCCGCACTGCTACCACCCACCATGGACAGGAACCACCACCGTCCTCCTCCCGCCACCGCTGCTAGGGACCAGCACCAGCACCAGCTCTACCAGCAGCACCAAGAACACCAGCAGCACTCACCTCACTACGCGCCCCCCCCACCTCCCTCGTACAATCACAACTCCGCTTCCTCCATCGGCTCCTCCTCCTCCTCCTCCTCCTCCTCCTCCTCCTCTTCTTCCACTTCCACTTCCTCTTCCTCATCCACCTCCACTGCCGCGGCGATCGCGTACCGTCAACCTCCTCAGGCCCAGATCACTCACCAGCACGCCTACGATCGCACCCCCTTCTCCGGCAGCTACGCCGTCGCCGCCACAGCAGCGGCGCCGCCACCGGGCTACGCAGCCGTCGGCGGCTACGGCGGCTACGCGACCGCAGACCTGGGAGGATACCCGGGCACGGCCAGGGAAGGCAAGCAGCGGAAGAGGAGGGGAAATCTACCCAAGGAGACGACGGACAAGCTCAGGGCCTGGTTCATGACTCACCTCTCTCACCCTTATCCTACAGAAGATGAGAAGCAGGAGCTCATGAGGGTGACGAAGCTTCAGATGAGTGAGTCCCGTTCTCTTCTCTTCCTCTCCTCTCTCACACATCATCATGACAGGAAACGACAAGGAGAAGAAGGAAAAGCTGACAAGTGAAAAAAAAAAAAAACAGACCAAATCTCCAACTGGTTCATCAACGCTCGTAGACGCCAACTACCCACAATGATCTCGAACGCTCGCATCGAGTCAGACGCCATCAGCGGGAGGTCCCCCAGCGGCACCCATCACCACCACCACCACCAACAGCAGCAGCAGCAGCAGCAGCAGCAGCAGCACCTTCTCCATCATCATGCTCACATGATGGCCACTACCGAGCGCCCAGATCTTGTTCGGAGGGACGGTCCGGCCCTGAGCGATGGCGAGGGCGTCTCATCCTACGAGGACGAGGAGATGGAGAGTCTGAGGCGTCGAAGGGGTCCTGCCATGGATAGGGGGAGCGTCTAGAATTCCTCTCTTCCCGACCTCATCTTCTCTTCCTCTCTTCTCTTCCTCTTCAAGACTTGCCCTGTTTTTTTTTCCCCTCTTTTTTTTTCCTTTTTTCTTAATGATCCTTGCATCACTTTAACGAGTTTACGGTTTTATTCTCTCTCTCTCTCCCTCCCTCTCTCTCTCTCTCTTTTTTTTTTCCCCCCATTTTTTATTACAACTTCACTCTCAAGTATTATCATCATTATTCATCATTACCCTTGGGGAAAAAAAGGTATTTCAAGAATGGGAGGGTGGATTCTGCAAAGCATATGGGATGATGCTCAAGAGATACGACTTATGTTACTATACATTCAATTATATTCCTCCGATATATCTACCATCTTCTTCTGATCATCTACTATATTCTGTATTCATACTTTAATAGCACTCCTCGATTTCAAAATACTCGACAGCACATCTGTACAGTGACATCTGTACAGTGGCATCTGCTCACTCTCCACACGTCAGACACTCGCAGTACGAGTCGCAAGGGAGGGGAAGCTTTCTGGTCACCTCAACAGTTCCACTTACTACGGAAATAGGGAGAGTTGCTACATGTTCTACTCCGTACTCGGTGCAGCTGCACCTGGTTACTACAGGTAGAGAGAGAGAGAGAGAGAGAGAGGAGGGGGCTCTTGCTACCCGATCTCTACTCCGCAACACTACATTCTCAAGAGGGTAGACATAAAACATGACTGATCAGACCATCAGATCAGGTCAAGCAAGACCGAGACCGAGACCCAAGACCAGACCAGACCATACCAAGCAAGACCAAGACCAGACCGGACCAGACCCGAGGCCATTTCAACGTGACAGGCATATCCTGGTCAGAATAGAGTTTATAACAACTTATGAGAGATCGAATTGGCCGAGTTCCGAACTCCGGTACCGAGACGTTGGGCCATTGTATTTTTTTTTTCTTCTCCGTGTGCAAGTGTGAGGAGAGAGTTATATTACGTCGTACTAGTCAGTAATGGGTTGGGACGGTAATGTGAGGGCAGGACTGGCACGAGAAGAGTGGAAGTAGAGTGTGTGTGAGTTGAATCAGTGAGGATCATCATCATCATCATTTTTTTTTAAAAAAAAAAGAAAAAAAAAAGAAAGAAGAGAAACTATATACAAGTCATACCCGTAGAACCCTACAAGACCTTTGGTAGTATTGGTATCTCGACGGTGATATCCCGCAGCAGGCGTCCATGAGTAGTATCGGTACACGTACTCTCCTGCTACGGATGCATGTGTATCGTATGCATCGTATATGTAAGTATCGCTACTCTCGTATCTCTTTCTGAGTGAAGACCCTTTTTTATTTTTATTATTATTCTACTCCATTATCGAAAAGTTAAAGAGTCGGTAGTTTACACAGCTAGTCGAGAATGCCGGATGGTTATTATACACCCCCCCCCCCCTTCTTCCCTTCCTCCCTCTCTGCTTTGAGGATTTCGCCGCTATGGATTGACCACGAGACTATCGATGTTCTCTCTCTATTTTTTCTTTCCTTTTTTTCTTTTTTTTTTAAAAAAAAATCTTGTTTATTTATCTTCCTACGCCAAGCCCGCCGTTGAGAATTCTTCCCACCTCTAGTTTCAAGACATATACGCGCACACACACGCACACACACATATATATATATACATACACACAAGACTGAGACGCCGTCAGAGTTTTTTGTTTCTTCTTTTTTTTTTTTGAAAAAAAAAAAAAAGAACGATAGGGAAATTAACCCGACCGTTTGAATGATCTACGTGAGTTGATGCAAAAGGCGGGTAACATGATCGTAGTAGTACCAGTACTAGATTGAACTTGGGTAAGATTTACATGCCATCATGTCTAGACGTGGTCAGAACGTCAGGAAAGGATTAGAAGAGATGGGGAGGCTCTCCGGCTCGGAGATTGGAGATCAGTAGACAGAGAGTTGTCACTTACACGTACATGCATATATACAACATATACACACAACTTACACGTACAACCTATACAACCTATACACACACTCTCTCTTCCTCTCTCTTCCTCTCTCTCCCTCCCTCTCCCTCTCCGTCTCTCTCCGTGTGCGTGTCTCCTCTCGGATGGTTGCCCGACTTCATCAGACGCTAAGGCATGCATACGTCGTAAGGATAACCGGTTTAGTACTGACGAGGTGAACCCAATCTTGTCCTCATTCCCCATCCTGCGCGATTGGTACGAGGTACGAAGGAGAGAGATTATTTACAAGGCTGGCTTGGCTGGGGCTGAGCTGGAATGAAGAAGAAGAAGGAGAAGGAAGAAGAAAAGACAGAAAAGACAGAAAATAGTATTATAAAAACAATATATATACATATATATACATATATATATAAAGAGCGAATCGGCTCTAGCTAAAACGTTCTTTCATCTTGTTTCCTACTAGTAGTCCTGCTAGCAGTAGTCCTACGAATACGACCATGTAATTACTCGTCTAGTCTTCCCAATGGTCTGGACCGCGCGTCATGAAGGGGCGGCACGTTCCAATAAGGCTGTACATCTCACGAGTAATACCATCATACATGTTTACAGAAGATGGTATCTCCGCGGAGAAGTCGATATCACCTTTGCTACCCATGATTAAGAAGGAGGAAGAGACAAAAGTAGAGAAAAATATTTGCACCAAAAAAAAAATGAAAGAGAGAAAGAAAAAAGAAAAAAGCCACCGGGAACTGCGCGATGTCAGTCTACCGATCCATGCTGTCGAGATCGACACGCAAAGTTACAATTCCTACGACGAGATTTCCTCAAACCTCAGATCTAAAGCGCGTAGACTCTTTTATATATATATATATATGATTCTCTCTTTTTTTTTTTTGACCTATTGCCTTGTTCAAAGAAACATTTGAATTGAATAGAGAAGATTGAATGAATGAATAAAGATCAGCATACAACTGTCGACACCAGGACGATACGACTGCTAAGACCACTATCACTACTACTCCTTCTTCAGCAAGAAGAAGAAGAAGAAGAAGAAGAAAAGGAAAAGGGGGGGAGGAGAAGTGACCATGACCAAAGCTTGGGTACGTTTGACATTCATCATCATTGATGGCTACTCACTACTAGTAGAGTATCATGGCATACGACTCGGCATCACACAATCATACATCGTCACACCGATTTCCAGGAATGAATAGCAGTCTTGTACATGTAGTACATGTGACATGAATATATATATAAAGGGGGGGGGGGGGGGGGGGGGGGTAATTGCGTGCCCCGCCTAGAAAACCTGTATCTTTGAGGCTGTATCATCACATCACTCCGTAATACTCCGTAATACTGCACCCGGTATTGATATTGGCATCCGAGTCGATAGTGAGCCACATTACTCTGCAACCTGCTCGTATGCACGTCGCAGAGAGACAGGTACTGTCATCACCCAGCCATACCGGTACAGACAGTCTCACGGGATAAGAATGATGCAAACCCATACCTATACCCTCCATACCTCCAGCCGACGGTACGGGTAATAGACCTCACTTCTATACGGCACGGACCGAGGAGGAGTCCACCCCGTACCACCAGAGGTCCGAGGGCCATCGTCTGTTCGTAGGCTGTACGAGTAGCCGGCCAACAGAGCCCAAGCCCAGCCCGACCCGAGCCTTCCCTCCAAACTCCCTACCCTTCCTCGATCGGGGGTCCCCTCTCCCGACCTTCTGAGGCCGGCGTGGAGCCCGACGTTCGCGCGAGAGCAGTACGTACCGAGAAGTCATATCCGGATAGACACCGTCACACGAGCCAGAGCGAGGTACCACCCCCTTGGACCTTTTGGTTCACGCCACGGCGGGAACGACGATAGACAGCCAGGGAGGAGTGAGATTCGCTCCCGAACTAGATCTGTCCTAGCCATGGGGGGGGGGGGCGGTGGAGCTGCTCCGTAATTACCGTCTGGACTCTGCAGAAGCCCTCTCAGAGGTGATACCCCCCCCCCCCTCAGAGCTCCCTCTAAGGATCTTATGATGCCGCCGCGTACCTCTCACTCCGCGAGTCCGCACTCGTGGGGCGTACATCGCAATATGAGCAGCCACTTGGTGCCCCGCCGAGTCGAAACAGGCTATCGCGCGCACTAACCAGTCACTGCGTACGACGCACTTGCTTTCTGTCCCTCGCCTGCACCGCAGTCAGCCCTTCTGCTGATGATACGACGTACTGAAAGGTTCGGGGAGCTGGCAGATTGCTGATACCGGTCAGCCAGTTCAGTCTAGAAAAGAGGAGGGGAAGGGGGGGGGGGGGGAGGGGGTGTGCATACATACCTGCATCTCGTACAGAGTATGAACACTTACCCAGTGACAGGATGAATCCTCCTGCACGGGTACTTGTAGCGGTCCATCATGCACGGCCGACGCAAGACGCACAGATACGCACGACGCACGCGCGGGAAGACCAGAGCAGCAGGCATTTCGAGCTGGCTTCCCGTCAGTGGTTGGCGGCTGTTGCCACACAACCCCCCTTTCTTCCTTCTTAGATCATGGTGCTCGTAAGACGTACCTGGTAGTGATGCTCGTAGATCAATCTACGCGCCGAGGTCTGGCGCTCGCACGCACACCCCCAAGAGGCACCGGTATTGACGCTAACCGATACAGCACGGAGGCATATTACCGAGCGAGGAAAAGAAAGAACCCCGTCGGCCCACCACGCGATCCCTCGACCCTTGGGACCTTGCGAGCTGGGGGTGGGCCGGGGCCGGACTTTTGGTACGTAATGGTGATAACCGCACTGCTAGCACCTGCACTACTGCACCTGTAGATAGCGGTACCATGCCAGACTCCATCAGACTCCATCTGCGCGGCATCGAACTAGGCGCGGGTTGGGGGGGGGGGGAGGGGGGAGGGGTGGTTACATGACGGTGGAAGCCGAGTGTGACCCCTGCACAGACGCCCAATACGTGTCACCTGCCAGATCATGCCACCAAGCTTCTCCATGTCTCCATCTTGTGCATCTGCAGTCTTTCTCTGTTTCTTATTCCCTTACTTCCCTCTATAGGAGGATCAGTTGGGGAGAGGCTGGAACGAGTCTGGGACGGCCGCTCTTGTACGGGTACTCAGGAAGGAAAAAGAGAAAAAAGAAAAAAAGAAGAAGAAGAAGTGTCCACACAGGGGGCCCCCGTTCACTGACCTGTCTCACTCATCGAAATCCAGATGATGATGGATAGCCCGTAAGAACAATCTTTAGGCGAGATGAGGGGGCCCTTTGACGGCTGCTTCCGTTGGACCATCAGCCGTACCGAGTACCGTCGCGGTCCCAAGTCATGACAAGTTGACAGCTGGGCATCCCTGTACCCGGACGGCAGGGGGACGGGCGACCGGTGTACCGCTGCTGGGTCGCTGCTGCATGGTACCGCCGCCTCAGCCCAAGAGCAGTCAGGAGGGCCGTTGATGAAAGCGCCGTATTCCCAACGAGGTAATAATGGTAGCCTGCGTTTCCGACGTACACCACCATACTCATCATAGTATGGTCAGAGAGAAGGGGAGGGGGCGTGTGTCCCCGTGATTGGGCGTGGTCGTGGAGAGCGAGAGAGCGAGAGAGAGGCGAAGGCGCAAACCACCTTGATTGGCTATCCGAGTGGTATGAGCCCTTGTATCATCGTTATTACTCGTAATCTGATAGCTTCAAACGCAAAAAATAATCATAATAAAAAGGAAGTAATGCCGGAAATGAGAGAGGGGAAAAAAAAGGTTCAGGATGATGCTGCTGCTATTGTTGCTGATGATGATGATGGCGATGATCTAACTAGGTCGGCATGGCGCTCGGGAATTAGGGTCGTAGGCATTCTGGAGTTCTGCCTTGTCCGCTGTTGCGTGTTTAGTGTTCACCGACCTCAACCAACTGCCGCGTCGCTCCTTCCCCTGCTGAGACAAACCCAAGCCTTCCCCATGATGACAGCCCCTCTGCGTGTCTGGAGAGCCTCGCTCTTTCCCTTGCGCAGAGCACCTCTTTTTTTCTTTCCGGAACCCTGAATCACTACGGAGTACTCTCCGTCACTTTCTCTCTGCTTCTCTTCATCATTGTGATCCACCCCGCAGAATCGATATAACCATCGTCACCATACCGTCATCGTCATCATCATCACCATCATCATCCTCGTCACCGTGCACGTCTATACAAACTGCTCCCAATGATAGCATGCATCAACCCCCCCCTCCCTCCATTATTACTCATTAGTCATCTTGAACAGACCGCATCACCGTTCTCGACGCGTGACCTGGCAGCCTTGTCCTGCCCGTCTGGGCCCATCCATCGGCCGTCAGCCTTCACACTTGTGGAATTCCTGCCATGCTTGTCACGATGCCGGCGCCAGCGTCGGCTGCTCATCACCCTCCCCTCCTACTCATCTTAATCTGCCGCCGCCGCGCCGCCGCGATACGACGTACCGAGTCGTACTTGGAGCGAGTGTGGTGCAAAGTGCACGCTACTTACTACTGATGGTACTCGGTCGCGAGGACGTGGGGAGAATACGTACCGTACCGCCTTTGACGTGCTGGCGTGTCGCATAATTCCACCAGTGTGTACGAGAGTATCGTCCCTAGCTGAACTGCAACCGACATGCTTCTCACCCCTTCCCTGATCCTATTCCCTTTTCTTTTTTTTTTTTTTCTTTTTTTCAGAAAAAAAAAATTGATTCTCCAGCGTTGATAGTGCCGAGTGCTACTGGCAGTGCTCCACGTCATCCCTCCGGTTCGTTCATTGTGGGCTTACAGGATGGCAACGGCCCAATGAGGTCTGGCCCTGCATGGCTATGTGTTGCGAGGAAGCGCCCTAACTGGGGGGTAGCAACCATCACAGCCTACTCCGTACGGACGGGCGCACGAGACTTCCATTTGCCACCCGATATGCAAGTCATCCGGTCCAACGCCAGACGCAGAGGATTATCGTGAGTGCCAAGGTGGGGTTTCGTCATTGGAGAAGTTCGCCAAGTTGACACTCATATCCTGCCTACTATTGCAGAGCGAGGGTGGGTTGTACGTCGTCGCGTCCTACCCAACAACTACCTCGTCCTGCCGCTGCCGCCGCCGCACCTTGTCCCGAAGTCATTTCCGTGGTTGGCGCAAGGAGTCCGCTTGCGGGGCACGTCCTCACATGCGAAGTCAGAAAACGGAGCGACCAGTAAGTAGTACCTGTGTGCTCGGGACAGACAGACACGTCCCACATATCCCCTTCTTGGCTATCTCTGCAGCTCCGTCGCCGTCGATCTGCCCCGCTCCTCATGAGCTTCACGGAGGACACCCCCCACCCCTCCTCAATGGCAAGGATCAGGGAAGACACCGTGGAAAAAATACGCCGCAGGCCGTAAATCCAAATGAGATGACGTTTCATCAGCCGGTCGGGGGATGTCTCTGACCCCTGCTCCATCTCATCACTGGCTGATCCTCTGACAAGCCTCTACAAGCTACGGACAGAGGCATCAACACCTGCGGACCCAGAAGCACTAACTTCCAAGTTTGAGGTAATACAGAACATCAGAATGTCTGCGACATGCATTATGCGCACAATGTGATCTCGTTTCTTTTTCCTCTTTCTTTTTTTGGGGTTCTCTTCTTTCTACGGCCTCACAGTTTTCTTCCCTTTTTTTTTCCATTCTAAACCTGATCCATTCGTGACGCAGTATCAGCTCTGGTTTTCCATCGTGCTTTATCATCTCAAGGGCACAACATGGATACGGCTCCGATTCTTGATGTGGATATGGATATAGATATGATATATTACGAGACGAAAGCGCCATCGTCGCATCTTTCTCCGCCACGGTATTGTAAGTATAGCAGTATATCAGACAGCCATCACTAATACTATGGATTACCATGATTTTCATTAATAGCGCATATATCTACTAATAGAAAATAAGGGAGGGGAAGGAAGTGCGTGCATTGTTACCACACATCACACATGGGAGATGCAGGCGGGACACACGTTTTACCCCGTCGCGTTTCGTGTGTATGTATATACAAGTAGTGCTATGCTTTTCTGTGTCATCCGTTTTCTCTTTTCTTTCTTCTTTTTTTTTGGGAGTGGGGGGGAGGGGAGACGTATATTCCATTACCATCACTACCAGGTACAAAAAAAAACAAGAACCCTGGATGATACTAGACACTGATCACTTTTTTCTTTTACTGTTTCTACTTTTTTTTTTTTTTAAAAAAAAAAAGGAATTCAGACTCCAGATCCGTGATGCCAAGTTAGATCTTGATCCTCCCGAGGACCTTGCACGTGAGAAGATTCAGGACATGACCTCTGTGATGGTGGTTCTGCAGCCAGTGAAGGTGAATGCGGATGGCGTGGCAGAAGCCCAAGCCGGTCTCGCTGAAGCTCCTGCCCTGGGCGGAGGTCCAGGTGTGGCCGAAGTCGTCCAACCTGACCTCGACGTAGCGCCAACCTCTGGCCAGGAAGGTGACCCTGCCGCGCAGCATGTGCTTGCGCGGCGCGTCCCTCAGGGGCCGGAGGACGTCGTTGTCGACGAGCCACAGGACGGCGCCGGCGACGAGGTGCGAGGCGCGCTCGATATGCCTGATGAAGTAGCCCAGGCCACCGGGCAGGCGCCAGGGCTCGGCGTCCAGAAGGCGCATCCAGCTCGGATGGCACTCGATGCCGATGTGGAGGGGCCGTCGGAACCCCCAGTTCCTCATGTCGGTCGCGTAGGCCAGGACGTCGGGGGGTGTCGAGTGTCCTATGTCCCCGACCTGGAAGACCAACAGGTCGTGCTGGGGTCTCAGCGTGATGAGGACCGTCTCGTCCGACCGAGACGGCCATGGCGACGACGTCGGCGGCCACCGCGTCGGCGGCCACCGCGTCTGCCTGCTGCCGCCGGCAACGGACAGCGTCACCGCGTGGAAGAAGTTGCCAAACGTGCCCCGACCACGGTGCACCCGGAAGTACCGGAAGGCCACGGCGTGACGCGACTCCGAGCACGCGTTCCACAGCGCAGAGTCGAGGAGGTACCCAGACGGGTTCTTGGGGCTGTGCCACGCCGACGCGGCGAGGCCGCGCCGGGACTGGAACGACGGCGGCGCCAGACGCTCGTCCTGCTTGCGCCCCGGAGCCGAGCGCTCCGTCTGCCGGCAGTCTATCGTCAGGAGCTGGCGCTCGGGACCCAGGCTGAAGAATTGTATCTCCGGCTCAGCCTGTCGGTTCGTGATGGCCATGTCCCATATCATGTCGCGGAGTTCCCGTGGGAGACGGACGAACGGTATGAATCGACGGGACTTGGGTCGTCTGGCCATTGTTACTGTTGGTCTTGTTTTTCTTTCTTTTTCTTTTTTTGGTCTTGATGTCCAATGTGATGTCTTCTGTTGCTGTTGTTATTCAGTTCGGTATCTTTGTGTGTGTGTATCTGTGTAGTGAGAGATGATTTGGAAAGAGCGAATTCCTCTCTTGATAGACATGATTCCCAGGCATCAAAAAGGTCCCATGTATGAGACCTTGACATTCAAGAAAATGATGCTTCAGAGTTCAAAGTCAACAATGATATATACGCGTAGATAGAGCTCGGCAAGAAACAAGCTTCATCCGCTCATCACGTGGATCACCGTCATGATGGAAAGTCAAAGGACACATGTCCGATAAACGGAACTTTGGGGGTTTCCATCCGTTCTGGTCTGTCTTTGCTCTTCTTCTCATTCTTTCTTCTTCTTCTTTTTTCAAAGTCATCGCGTCAGTGCAACATCAGTGTAACGACTATCCCGAGGCGGGGCGGGGGGAGACTGGGAACACATTGAACACGCAGAGTCGGCTCGGAGATGAAGATTGGGTATTGTTGATGACGAGTGACGAGACTCTCAAGGTCTGATGAAACAAAATTACATGAGTCATGCATGTGTGTGTTGTGCATGTGTGTGTGTGTGTGTGTGTGTGTGTGTATAACTCGATAGTCTACCCGCCGTGGATGAATCGCTCTTGATCAGAGGTTTTCAGCCGTCGTAGCCACATGGTGTCATCATAAAGCAGAGAAGAGACCCGGGCTCCTACCAGTACAGTGCCAGTTGGGTGGCTTGGGAGAGAGAGGGGGAGTTGTATGTATATACAAGTAATACGTGTCGTGTGCGTGTGGGAACATGTCAATTGCTGTCGGGTGGATCGGCACCCCAGTCGGTGCCGTTGTGAGGGTGCACCGGGATACCCCAGTTCCCTTGGAAGGTGCTGTCCATGACAGTGTCGGTGAGCTGGTCCATGAAGGAGGCTGAGGTGCCGCCGAACGTGTCCGGTGAGGTATGGCTGCTGTTGCTGGGCGGTCTCGTGTCGGTGAAGCCGGCCGTGTTGAGGGGCGACGATTCCGACGATGACTCTACGACCTTGTCTCTGCTGCTGCTATCCTTGCGGCTGTTCTTCTTTGTCTGGGACGACGCTGTCGTTCCCGGCGTGGGCTGCTGATTGCCGTCGGTGTTGGTGGTGGTGGTGTCGGTGGTGGCATGCGGCTGGGAAGACTCGTCGTCTGGAAGTGAGTCGATGTTGCGGGTTATGGCGCCGATTACGGTCTGGAAGCACGGCTTCGACTTCGACATGTCGGGTACATGCAGCAGTCCTGCGCTTTCTGAAAAGTCTGCCGGCGAAGATGCCTGCATTGGAGAGAAGCCGAAATGTGCCGCCGCTGCCGCCGCCGCCGCCGCCGCCGCCGCGGACGTGGGTGAGCGGGCCGATTTCAGTGCGGCTGCACCCCTCTTGGGCATGTGGATGACGGAGGAGAGGTTGCTGCGCTCGACGTCGAGACAGGCTCGGTAGAAGAAGTTTCGGAGGACACCGGGGGACGCGCGGCTCAGGGAGTCGAGGGTGTGCAGTATAAGCTGGAGGTTGGAGCGCTGCGTCGCCCGGTTGGTGCCGCCGGCCTCCTTCTTGTGGAGGTAGATGTATACAGAGGCGGCCGAGTAGAGGGATATAGCAGAGAACGGGGTTTTCTGGGGGAGGGATTCCCAATTAGCCACCCTCTATCCTTGGCTTGCTCTTATTCCCAGCACACACAATAGGCATCCATAGGCTCCGGAAAAAAAAAAAGGGGGGGCGAGCATCAGAACGTACAAAAGGGGCAGGATTGTGAGACGACATCTTGGCTAGGTGGACAACCTCCTCGGCTGCAGCCTCGAGACGACACATGAGCTTCTGCCTCAGTGTCTCTGGGAGTGAGTACGTGTCCACCTTTTCCAGGGCCGCATGGTGGAGGCAGATGATGGCGGCGTGCAGGTTGAGGTTCATCGCGACGGCGGACGGCTCGCGCATGTTCTGGGGCAGACGCATCCTCTCGGGCATGAAGAGGAACAGGGTGGCAATATCGTTGTCCAGATCGCGATGGCGGTTCCAGTACTGGCCGTTGACCACGTCCTCTGGATGGTCGGTCGGGCGCGAGCGGAAGGCGTGCTGGGTGATGGCCTTGAAGATGCGGCATACGACGACGATGCCCGCGAAGCTGGAATAGCTCGCGCCCTCCGTGAAGACCTGGTCGAGGTAGGGAGCTTCGGGCTCCTGCTGGCCGGAGAAGTAGGCTTCATCTGAGCACGGGAGGCGGGTTGAGATCTGATTTTCGGGGGACGGAGGTCAGTACGTCCGAGCTGGACGAGGGAAAGGAGAAGAAAGAATGAAAGAATGAAAAGCCCAGACATACATCTTCGGAATTTATCAGACTGGGCCAACCAGCTGCCACACAAGCATGAGTGTCGATAGTAAATGCCGACCAAAACACCCGCCTGCGCTCCTCCTCCTCAACCCAGTCCGCAGGGGGTGGCATCCTATTGGGCACGGGACCATTGTCCTCGTCGTCGTCGATGCGATCGAGCCCCATGACCTGTATGATGCGTACGCCGCTTGCGGCTGTCAGGGCTGACTTTGTGAAGTGGGCGAGCTTGGCCTCGTAGTTGGCCAGGATGATGTAGGCCTGTGCGTGGGCAGCGGTGAGGACGTGGTTTCCGTCTCCCTGTAAGTCGGTCAGCTCACACACGCACACAGGCACATTATACACGTGGTATGTGCTCAGGCTTGATATCGGGCGAGAGGGTGAGAGGAGTTCACCTTTGCCTCGTCCATCTCGACATAGTGCTTCGCGCGACGATAAAACACATCGGTGTACTTGTTGTACTTGGCGGCGACGTGAGAGGCCATGGTCCACATAGCGTACTGCAGGGACATGGGGGGTTTCTGGGATGGCGGGCCGTAAAAGGACTGCCAGAAGCGAGATGGGTGGATTATGTTGACGAAGTTGTGCTGTGACTGCAGGCAGATGTTATTCCTAGTCGTGGAGGTCAGTCCCGAGGTCACTGCTACCAGTACTAGAGGGGCTTCCCATGAGAAGGGAGAGGAAGAGGAGAGCGCATACAGCTCTTCCATCACATTGGGAGGAGGGAGACTCTCGGATATGCCCAAGCTCATGAGCTGCGTGTCGTCGAATGGAGTGCCGGCCATACTGTCTGGTGAGAAGTCCGGGAGATCCAGAGGGATGGACTCGGCGGCTGAAAGCTGCGCAGCAGTCCCCGCCGGCTGCGCATCCGTAGGAGCAGCGGTCGGAGGGGGAGCGGCAGCGGCAGTGCTGGAGGATGGCGAAGCCGATGCGTTCTCCTCTTGGTCATTCCTCGTGGCATCCTTGAGATAGATCTCCACCTGGGCTGTTCATCGTCAGCAGAAAAAAAAGAAAGAAAGAAAGAAAACAGAGACGTCTGGGTTGGTCTCCAACATGACATGATCAGATCAATCGGACGCATGAACCTACCCAGTCGGTCTTCTAGATCTCTCACATTCCTCCTCTTGAACGTCGGCTTTCTCTTCGACTCGGGATACACACACTGGCCACCACCGTCCGACCTCGAACAGCGGGTGCACACCGGTCTGGCGCGGTCACACTTGAGCTTGCGGGCTCGGCAGGTGACGCACGAGAGGGATCCACTAGTCTGCGATCGGCCGGCCCTCTCCTTGACCGATGCCGAAGAGGGCGAAGGTGCGCCGTGGTGGCCGTCTGTGACCGGAGACGTAGTCGGAGCGGGAGCGTGAGGATCGCTGCTATTGGGTGATGAGGGTGTATACATGAACATGGCCGTGGTGGCGAGCCAAGCTCAGGTTACGTGCGACCACGTCTCCTAGTATTGATATGAGGGACCAGAGATGCCAGACGGCCCCGGCTCTCTTGAAGTGCCGAGAATATGTCGGTACAAGATATTATGTCGGAGGACCGTGAAAACGTGGTCATGGTGATGAATGCTGACATCGGGGACCCTTGCTTGGTCATCCGTCGTTGCTCGGTCTTGCTACCAGCACCGAAGACCGAGGAGGTTATGGAATCCGTTCAAAAGCGCGCGCTACGTCATCCTAGATACCCTACATATAACACGTACTGTACTTCCTGCTTGCGACAGCACACGATGACCCATAGCCGTGAACGTAGAGGTCTCTGTCTACTAGTACGTCCTGGATCGATGTGTCGATCCTGAAAAGGAATGAAATCTATCTATGAGGCTATTCACAGACGTGAGTGTGGCAACAACCTCTCTGGCTGCTTAGTCATGCATTCTTGGTTGCCACGATGTCGGTCATTGCAACTTCTCGTCACACATGACACAGTTCGATGTATGTAGATGGAGAAGAATATTAATTCATCAAAGCACTGCAACCCCGAGCAGGCATTCCCCATCACGATTCAACTGGTCGATTGCCTCTATTAATACTCACCCCTTGACGGCCCCAGTGGGGTGATTGATTTCTACCCGTAACAACTAAACTCGGCTCCACACAAGCTCACATGAAAAAGAAAAAGAAAAAAAAAAACGACTCACCAGCTGACAGCCAGACATCAATACTACCCACATTGTACGTGCATTGCAGGCAGCGTGTGTGAAAGCAAGACCACCATGTTCTCATACATTGTCGCCGTCGTAGCAGCGCTCCTCTTCCTCTCCGACCCAATATCACGCTTCCTATCACCCGACGGAGGAGGCAGTAGACGCTCATCGTCGTTGGGACCCTTGTCCCCCCGTCCCCGTCTAAACGAGGACCTCCTCGCCATCGACGCACCCAACGCCACGACACCTCAATGTCCCGAAGACAGCTACGTAGCCCACGTGCTCAATCGTTCGCCCCTGGTCATATATCTGGAGAATTTCATCAATGACGATGAGAGACGGCATCTTCTCCAGACGAGGTAGGTTGTCTTCCCTGCCCCCCCCCCCTCCTCTCTCTCTTCTATCCTATCGCGTATGCGGTGTGTGTGTGTGCTGTCTGAAATAGAGGAGCAAAAAAAAAAAAAAAGGAAAAAGAAAAGAAAAGAATGAATAACAAGATAGGATAAACCCAGCTATCCGATCTTTGAACCGGCCCTCATCGGCTCTCAGGATCAAGAACGTGACGCCTCCATCCGCGACTCTCACGTTGCCCTGCTCCCCCGCACCGACACCGTGCGCTGCATAGAGAGGCGAGCCATGGCCGTCCAGGGGTGGCGTCGCGATGCGTGGATCGAGAGGCTGCGCACCCAGCGTTACGACGCACCCTCCGGACACTACGCTCACCACTACGACTGGAACGTGCACAGGGGTGGGTGGGGACGTGTGAGCAGCTTCATGGTCTGGGTCGACGACCAGACGCCCGGCCAGCAGGCCGGCGTGGAGCTCGAGGGCGGAGGTACCGAGTTCCCCCTCCTGCCGCGTCGGTGGGAGGGCGATCGCTGGTGTCGTTTCGTCGAGTGTCCTCCCCCTCTTCCCGCCGACGATGGCACCGGTGCCGGGAATGGGACGGCCGTGGGCACCACCTTCAAGGTCGTGCCTGGGAACGCAGTCTACTGGGAGAACTTCACGCCAGACGGTCGTGGATTCGAGGAGACGTGGCATGCTGGCCTGCCGGTGACGAGGGGGACCAAGGTCGGGCTGAATATCTGGACATTTGGGAGGATCGAGTAGCCACATTCCTGGACTCTCCAGCCATCTGACGTATTCTGTATCACAGTAATAGATAGCAGGAGCGGTAGCAGCGTGACAAGCAACTGTGCATAGCATCACACTTGTATACGTAGACCACACACACCACTCAACATCAAAGTCTGTTAATCAAAAATAATTTCCTGTATGTCACAGTCGGTGTTCCATGACCAAAAGACAACGCTGTATGCAAAAATCATGGCTAATAACGAGTGAAAATGCCGCGGTGATGGTGATATATCTCTAACCAACAGGAAAAAAAAAAGCAACGCTCATCAGATATGATTTTCCCGAAACCACAAGGCAGTAAAAATAACCCAAACGCCTTCTTACCCATGTTGCGACCATAGTGTGTGTGTTTGTGTGAAAGAGAATGGAAGATGGAAGGGATCAATGGTATATAAGACAAACAAAAAGGTAAGAACCAAAAGAAAACAAGAAACACAGGGAAAAAAGGGGGAAGAGGGGGG